ATTGCTTTTACACTAACACATGTGAAATAAGTTATAACCTGAAAGGTAAGAGTTTCCTATGTCTTATTATTTTTTTTCCAAGTATTTCTTTCCCAAATATCAATTTAAGAGATACTGTAAGAGCAGAATTATAATGAAGTTTTCCAGCCGGAAACTTGCCCGACTCTGTGCTAAGATTTTTGAATATTAAAAAGAAACCCCTTAAGCCAGAAAATGAGAATTTATTAAGGGTTTTATAAACAAAATTTGCACAACTCTACAGTAATATTTTTTTAATATTTTGAGCCTCTAAACTGAGGTGAGGTCAATTAGAGGCCCGGTAGCAGTAAGACAGTACTCTTATCGTGAATACATACAACATTCTATCGAAATGTTATTTTGTGCTGTAGTACAATTAAGGATGGCTTTCCACTTAGGATTTTTACGGCTGCTTTAAGTATATTACACTCTCAAGAAGGTTGTAATATATTTGCAAAAAGAGACCATTCTTAGCACATCACAAGCTTATTTTTATGCCATGAGTAGCTATAATGCATATTTGCTGACTTACTGCTTCTTAGTTGGTATTTTCTGACTATTGGAGGTTTTCAAGAATTATATTTCAAAATGATTTGGGGTGGAGTCTCTGCTTGCATATATATACATTTAATATACATATATACATATATACTTGTACATATACTTATATGCATAAACTGAAAAGTCTATGCAGTTCAGTTCCTCAAAAAATACTAAGAAGTGTGAAAAATGAAAGAATGGATGGGGCTGGAGAGACGGCTCAATGGTTAAACACAGTGGGTTTCCACTCCCAGGATTGGCGTAGCGGCTCATAACTGTTTGCAATTCCAGACCAGCGGGTCTTATGCCCTTTGCCAGCACTCAAACACCTAAATAACAACAATAATAAATTTAAAATAAAGGTATAATTATAGTATTAATAGAATTAATAATAATAATTTAAAAATAAAGCTGCCGCCTCTATTGAACTGGAAGTGAAACCACGTGCTTAAAAAGAAGCAGTAAAAGGTGAGTAAAAAATTGCAACAAGTAATTCAGATCCTGGGTTCAGGTAGGACCTTTCTAGCTCTTTCTAGCTCTGCAATCTGTCGTCTTCAATTGAGGGTAGAGGGAGTTGTGCACAGGGTCATGGTGCATTAACGAAAGAAATGTGACTTCAAACACATCAAAGCATGCTGGGAAATAGGTTGCTCTGTTGTTTTATTATGGGACTGTAGAATATTTTTATCTAAGGTTTTTCAAATTTAATATTTTAAATTGAATCCTTTCAATGCAAGAAAATAGTTATTTTTTAGAATATATTCTGAATATGACTATAAAGGAAATTCTTTTAGTAAGGAAGCAAATGGTTCATCTATCAAGCTAATTCTGATTTCCATTTCAATGTTTTAAAAGTAGTTTTGGCGCATTTATCTACTTAGTTTTGATGCATATAATTTTACTGTTCTGAGACTGATTGGTCTTGAACACACAGCCCTCCTGCCTCAGCTCCTGGAATACTAGGGTCATAGGGACTCGCCACCATAAAGAGCAAAATATATTAACTTTACAATGATTAACTTAGAAATTTTAAAATTTCATATTTAGGCACAGTTTAGATTTCCACTGATTTTCAGATCTCCCAGATTCACTCTCCTGAAAAGGGCATAATGGCTACACGCATTAATGACAATGATGAGGTCATTCACTATACTTCACTTCCCTGTTACCCAGATCGCACTGGGAAGTCAGTAAGATTTCGATTCCAGCCCAACAGGGCATTTAGCTTCTAGTTTTGTCAGAGGTTTAAAATCTAGCCACTTCCTGGATTCTGTTTTTCTGGCTGGAACAGCTGAGATCTAAAGGTACTGCAGGCTTTATATTCGTTCCAGTTGATTCTGACCCATCAAGGAGTCAGAGAACTCCTGCTGCAGGAGGATTTGCCGTAACTGGTCGAGATTTAAGACCTAAGACTCACGTCTTTCAAGCACAGGCCTCTTGTTAGCGTGTACCCGCATCTTTCTCTCAGGGCCAGCCCTCAGTCAGAAAGCGTTGTGCTTTAAAGCCATGGATCTAATTGCTTATTTGCATTGTAAATGATTAACACCACACTAGTTTTGTAAGAACATGTCATTTAAGTTAATATTAGTGAGTCTGGCAATTTTGTAAGCCTCATGCATTAAAGATAGCTTAGTTTATCTAAGTGAACATTGTTAAGATTTCTTTTTTTTTTTTTTGCATTTGAATGCAAATTCATCATTCCGCTATCCCTCATGCCCAGAGTTTGATAAGTTAAATCATATATTGAATTTGGAGAGAGATACTGTGTTTGAATACCTAGATGAAAATGCTCCAACACATTAAAAATCACCTCATAGTTTTCCTCTTATTGTTTTGGAATATTACAAATCTGCAAGGCTAATAATAAAGTGGGTAACTTACTTACAGCTTGCAAATTATTTTCATATCTTTTAATCTGGTTTTGAAACTAATCCTGGGAGGCGAGGCAGAACCTCCACCCATCTATGGAACACCTGCTGCTGTTCCCATCAGAATTCTAGGTCCTGGGAATACAGTGTGAACACAACAGAAGCAAGAGTGCAGGGTCAGCATTCGGGCCCAACATACGGACCTGGATGTTGTGCATACAATGCTGTTCAGACATTGGGATTTTGCATGCGACCATTAAGGAAGAGCAACACTAGAACGGAGTAAGTTCAGAGGTCTCAGAAGAGGAATGGGAGATGTAAAATATCAAACTCTTTTAAGAAAGTATGAGGACTTCCAGATCGTCGATCACTAATTGGGAAAAGCAGAGATCACTGGAAACTTAAAGGAATCGAACACTGGGTAGGCAGTGCGGAGATCACTGACAACCTTATAAGAGGTCTGTCGGTGTAGGAGGTGAGCCCGAGCCAGCAGCTAAACACCTCCTGTGAGAATGTGTTCATCAACTTGTGGAAGAGAAGAAGAGAGACAGTCATTACAAGCAAGCCTTCTAGGATTTCAGGGTAGGACAGTGTAGGGAAACAGAACTGAGTGTGTGTGTGTGTGTGTGTGTGTGTGTGTGTGTGTGTGTGTGTGTG